CTCTCTCTCTCTCTTTCTCTCTCTCTCTCTCTCTCTCTCTCTCTCTCTCTCTCTCTCTCTCTTTTTTTTTTGGTTTTTCAAGACAGGATTTCCCTGTGTAGTTTTGGTGCCTGTCCTGGATCTCACTCTGTAGACTAAAGCTGGCCAGATCCTAATTGGTGGATTTCTTTGAGTCAGAACCAGAAATTGAGTTTCTTTGCCATGCATTCAGAAGCTCTTGTTTTCCAGTGGATTAGTGTTTCCACCAGTGAGTGACCCTGCGTGGTTTTGTCCTGCCTCTGCCTAGTTTGGCTTTCAGCTTTTTCTGTTCTCTGGGGCCTTAGTGTTCGGCATTATTCATGTCAGTTGTGGCCACTCACTGAGCTACTGGCTTTCGATTCTCCTTTGTTCTCCTGTACCTCCCAATCCCTTATTCCCCGAATGGTGTGGTTTCTTGTAATTCTCTGATCACTGATTCATTGATAATAGCTCTGTGTAGTCATGAGCTTAAGTTATTTTAGATTCTGGCTTGCCAGTCTGACTCAGCCATCAGGGGCTTGGTGAATCCTTGCGGCCAGCAGGAGGAACAGTTCTTTACAGCGTGGTTTCCTCTCAGGGTTAGAGGTGCCCATAGAGACTTAGGAACATGAGAAAATCTTATTAGTGATCTTGAAATCCTGTTGCTTTCTCTGAAGCGAGTGTCTGACTCACTGTCATTGGGAGAATGAAAGAGTTCATTCATTCCTCGTGTGGATGGGTCATCGCTCTGCTAGGTACTAAGTGAGATAAAGACACAGCCCTGTCTTTACACTGCCCTGACCTGTGAGCAGACAGTTCCAGGAAAGTAAGGTGGAAGGTCATGGCGCCACCCTGGAGAGGCTCCTGAGATACGGAAGGCTTCTTGGTGGAACAGCACAGAGCTGTTTGGAGTGAAGAAGGGGGAGTAGGCGTTTAAGGGGCAAATGATGTAAACAGGAGTGTGGCAGGCAGTACCTGAAGCTTTTTTGGGGGGGGGGTGTTGAGATAGGGTTTCTCTGTGACACAGCCTGAGCAGTCCTGGAAGTAGCTCTGTCTGTAGACCAGGCTAGACTTGAATTCTCCTGAGCGGCTGTGATTAAAGGCGCCGCCGCCGCCGCCGCCGCCACCACCACCACCACCACCACCACCACCACCACCACCACCACCACTACCAGGCCCTTGAATCATTTCTAACAATTGATAGAGGGTTGCTAAGTAGGAGAGGAGCTAGATGCAAGCCAGCCTCCTGGACCAGAGACCCAAGAAGGCAAATTTTAGGAGGTCCTTGTGTGATTTCTTTTGTGAATGGTACAGCCTGAGTTTTAGGGGGTTGGGGTGCTCCTGTGAATAGTCAGGGGCAGTGGGAGTATAAAATTAGAGGTCCAGATTGGTCAGTCCTGCTTTGGGTATAGGGGTGGTGATGCTGAGGTAGTCATGCTTATGTTGTAGCACTTAACTAACCCAGCTTTTGGGAGTAAAAGCTGCAGGTTTGGGGGATGATGGTAAGGCCATTGGTGGCTCTGAGCTACATTCAGGTGCATCCAGGTAGAGGTGCCCAGTGCTCAGGAGAGGGCTACACCTTGGAGGGAGGGCTTTGGAGTGAGTGATGGACAGACCGGGCTCCTTGACTGGAGCAGATGAGACCTATAGGAAATTCTCAAGACGCATTCTTTTCTAGCCTTGACTTTGTTTGCCATATAAGGAAGTATTCTTTGTGGCCTATAGATTTTCCTCCTAAACTACATTTAGTTCAGCTATATGTGTAACGGGACACTGTTCCTATTTTTCCTGGCTTGTGAGAGGGAAACGGGTAGCCACAGAAGGCTCTTTGAGTTGGAATTTCAAACTTTGTGATGGAAGGTTAGTGGTACATTCTGAGAAATTTCTGCTCTGAGGAACCATCACACTCCAGCAGTTACTTTTCTTTGGCCATTTTTGATGGTGGGGCTCAGCCTTCCCAACCCACTAGAGCTCTGTCTCTTGGTTTATTTTAGTGTTTTTTTGTTTTTTTTTGGTTTTTCGAGACGGGGTTTCTCTGTGTAGCACTGGCTGTCTTGGAACTTGCTCTGTAGACCAGGCTGGCCTCTGAACTCACAGAGATCTGCCTGCCTCTGCTTCCCGAGTGCTGGGACTAAAGGCGTGCGCCACCACCACCCGGCTTATTTTAGTTTCTGAGACAGAGTCTCATTAGGCCAGGCTAGCCTCACACTCAGTATGTAGTTGAAGATGACCGTGGACAGATTGACCCGCTTGCCTCTGAGTACTTCATATGCCGCTGTACTAGACTCTAATGAATTTGTCAAGGTTTTTTTTAATTGTACTGGAGTTTGAACACAAGTATATGCTAAGCAAGTACTTTACCACTACTCTGTGTCCTCATCCCCTCTTGGTTTATGATTTATGCAGTTAGACTGGGTGGGAGGGAGATAATCTGGAGTCCAAGAGGAATTAATTTTCTCAGAGTTCAGATGTGACCTTGTGTGACTTCACACTTGGTTCTCAGCTGACTCACTTGCAGTTGTAGCTTGGTAAGTTGCTATTGACAGTGTCCCTGAGTGCATCCTAGCTGGGGTGAGTTGGTCCAGCTGGCCGTGTGCTGCTAGGCAGTTGGAGAACAGCCTGGGATTAAAATGCTCTGATAGCTAATCCCCTTGTAAATACTGATAAATGGGAAAGGAGGCAGCCTGGCGGGAGCCCAGTGAGGGTAGGCATGGTTGGTTCGTGTCGTGCACCTTGTTCCTGTTATGCCTCGCTAGCCATGGTTCTAAAGACGTTTTAGCTCTTCAGTCCCCCAATGTCATCGACTTCCTTTTGGCTTGTGGTCAGCGTGTAGCTGGATGTTGGCCGCTGGGCCTCTGGAGCGGTGCTTACTGGGGGAGTCCAGCGGCCACGGTCTTGAGTAACCTACAGCATCATTTCCCTTGCTGGGGCTCAGACTGCAGAAGTCAGGGAGGGCCCAGCTCCCAGGGCTGCAGGAAGTACAGGCTTCTCAGGAAGTTATGACTCTTGCTCTTCTCATCAGTTCACTTTTTACATTTAAATGTGTATGACGTGTAAGTGGGGGGGGCAGAGGGTGGACTTTTCTTAAAAAGTAGTTTCTGAAAATGTGATGACAAAATACCACAGTTTCTTCTAAAGACTTTTTTGAGGGGGCCATTTGGACAGATTTGACTGGGATCTCATCGTCTGTGCCAGGAACCCTCTTTCCCAGAGGGAGGGAACCCTGAGATCTGGTGCAGGACCAAGCATTCCTGGCCATGTGGGCTGTCTGGCAGGGTCAGGAGGCTGACTTCCGATTCACAGCACTCTGTCCAAAGCCCTGCACGTTGACCTGTAGCTTGTGTCTGTTGTACAGGTCTTTCCTCAGGGCCAAACAACTGTCGTCTAAGTGGTGCTTGTCTGTTCACACCCCCCGCAGAGGGCCTGGGAGGGCCAAGAGACCTCACCTGAGTCAACAGTCACTAGAAGGACCAAGGACCGGCCCGGCCCTGCCTCTGCCCACAGCCCTGCCGTTGCCTGCTGTACCTGTCTATCCTCTGAGTCAAACAACCGCCATCTTGGGGTGTCCAGCTGTGCCGGCTTGAAAAGATCATCCCTGCTGGGCTTGCTGACTGTTCACACCCCTCATAGAGGGTTGGGGGGAAGAGACCTCACCTGAGTAAATAGTCTCCGTAACACCTGTTGCACACAATGCTGCTCTCACTGTCCATGGCCTTGGAGAGGGGCGAGGGTGTAGGCTGGGGAAGATGGAACTATTCGGCTGTCAGTGTGAAAGCCATTGTCCCTGCTGGGTAAGGACTTTCTGATGTGGTCTTTGTGTGGGTAGCACATATACTCCAGTAAGTAAAGCCCACTAAATTCATTTACTCAGCCAGAGTGAGCTTTGGAGCGTTCGTTCCCTGGTTTGTTGTTGAGGCTTTGCGTCACCCCTGGGAAGGAATCTTAGTCCCAGTGTCCCACTGGTGGTAGGAGGCATTGGGGACAGTGGCTCCAGGGTGTTGGGGGGCTTCAGAGGGTGAAGTGTAGAAAACAGTTGCTTCTGGGGTTTGCCCTTCTCAGTTGTCTCTCTACTGGGAATGGGGGAGCTAGGCTGGGTCTCCCTGTGGCCCACCCACAGGTGAGGCAAGCCAGTGTCTTTCCGTAAATGCATGCAGCCCCTAAATGCTGGTGTGATGAGCATTCCTGCTGCTCCACCCAAGGCCATGTGCCTTTCTGTTGGGTAACAGCTTGGCAATTTTGAGCTCAGTTAATATGATTGTCCCATCCCCCTCATGGAGGAGTGTTGAGGGAGGACACTGTCCTGCCTAGGACTCTGGTGTGTCAGACTCATTTCACCATCTGTCCAGGGGCTCAGAGAAGAGTGTCCATGCTGTGCTCTGGGTTGGTTGAATCCGTAGGTCCTTGGGGTCGTGGGAAGAAGCCTATTCCTGTGCCTAGTCCATTCCCCTGCTTTCACATTCACTGTGTCCACTTCACAGGACCCTGCTGGTAGGGTTTCCAGTCATTCCTGAATTCAGGGAATTTATCTGCAGTGTCTTCAGGAAGCCTTAAGTCTGGCTGACCTTTCACCCACTGTCAGGTATCTTGTGGGTGTGACCTGAGCAGCTAATTGTGAGAGGGTGCTGTCCTGGGTCCTCAGAACTACAGGCTGAGGATGGTTTTGCGCCGTTGACCCCTCATGCTGAGAGTGACATGTGCTCCTAGACCTTGGGTGTCGGGGGGGGGGGGGGGGGGGGGGGCTCCACTGGCCTGCAGGCCCGTTCTCTCCACCCCCTGGACATTCCAGGAGAAAGGAGGGGCCTTCAGAGAGGCAGGCCCGAGAACCTGTCGTCTGTCTGTACCACTTCCTCCTCTGTAGTTGGAACTGGGTGTAGACGGTGTCTAGGAAGATGACTTGGGAAGCAGCTGTGGAGTGGGAACTGCATGTGCAGTGGCCGGTTCCGCGAGTGTGAGCGTGATGACGTCAGTTCTCTGTCATCTCAGCCTCTGCCTTGACTCTCAGACGCGGTTCTCGGTGGGACACATTCTTTTTTTCATTAAAAAAAACAATCCTTTTTTATGTTGTGTGTTTGTCTGTCTGTCTCTCTGTCTCTGTGTGAGTGCCACTAACTGGCTGTACTCAGTTCTCTCTTCTTTTTTGTCGTATGAGTTTCAGGGTATTGAACTCAGGTTGTCTGCTTGTCGGCAGGGGCCTTTACCACTGACCCACGCCGTGTGGTTTCTTAGTAAACCTCCTGGCTTAGGGGAATCACTTGTGCAGGTGGGTGGCCCCTGGAGACTGGATTACTGTACAGTGGGGCTAGTGCTGTTGTGGGGACAAGCTTTTTTCTGGGACAGTCCGCAGGAGCTGCATTATGGGAAGCCAGGAGCCAGCCTGCACAGTTTTGGCCCTAGAGCAGACCAGGCTGCTGCCCTTTATTGGGACTCAAGCTCCCTCCAGTCCAGATGGGTCTCCTAGGTGTGCTGTCATTGTGGGGTCCCTTATGCTCCCTGCCTTTACTGGTGCACACCTCCTTCAGTGTGTGAGAGCAACATGAAGTCTAGGCTGCCTCTACAGTGAATCAGCACAGCAAACCCTAATTGGCTTACAGCTCCTTCTTGTTCGAAAAAATAAACCTGTCAGTGCACAGATTAAACAGGAAGTCATTGCAGAGAAGCCTGCAACAACGTTTGGACCAAGGCCCTAGTGGAACATTTCTAGGGCGAGCTGTCTGTCGGGGAGAGACCTGCTCAAGGTTGCCACCCATGCAGCCACTGCCTGCCATGGTGTCTGCTTAGGCCTGCTCTTATACTTTGTAGGGTATGAGTATGGGGACACACAGTCTCAGGACTGGTTTCTGGAAGTTTTTTTTTTTTTTTTTTTTTCTCTCGAGACAGGGTTTCTCTGTGTAGCTTTGGCACCTTTCCTGGAAGTCATTCTGTAGCCCAGGCTGGCCTCGAACTCGCAGAGATCCACCTGCCTCTGCCTCCAGAGTGCTGGGACTAAAGGTGTGCGCCACCACCACCTGGCTTTTGAAGTTTCTGTTGCTCACATATCACCTTGCCCAGAGCCCCCTTCCTTCTGTGTACAGTTTGAATTTTGCTGCCTTTTAAGATTTTCAAGGTTGCCTGCTGAAAGCCTCCCAGCAGCTCCAGGCATCACCTGCCCTCGCCTTTGACCATGTCTGTCTGACATTATCTAATCACCTTTAGCATTTCCTCTCGGATCTCTGTAATCCCAGTTGTATGAGTTGATGAGTCCTTTACAAGTAGGGAGACAGAGGCTGCACATTTCCACAGTGTGTTAGGAATTTACATGATGGCATGAGTTAGGGTTCCAGGAACTCTGGCCCTGTTCTGGATTGTCTGGTGTGCATGGGTATTTCCTCGTCTTCCTCTTTGTGAGCTGGTTGGCATCTCTCTGCCCACATGGTGGCTGTGTGGGGACTGAGGATGTGGCATGGAGTGAAGCAGGCAGACCCTTAGTCCTTCCCCACATACTCTACAAGGTGGGGAATGTGCTGTGAGCTGGAAGCTCACTGCTGCACACAGACCATGGTCCCCTCGTGAATATTGCACTCTACCTATTGGGGGTCTCACAGGTTAGCTGTGAGGTTTCCCTGTTGTTTCCTGGTTTCCCCTCTTCTCTCTAAGCCTGGTCAGTGTGTGGGACAGAGGCAGCAATCCCTTGTTCACCCTCAGGACTTTTATGTGGAAGCCAGCAAACATTGAGGGGCGCCCTCAGCTTCCATAGTGAGAGCAGGGAAACCGCCACCTTCTCCCCTCTGTATGGGTGGCCAAGGCCTCTTGCAGTCCTCCCAGGACCCAGACCCAGTACCTTCCACTGTTGACTAAAGTTTTCTTGGCAGTGAGTTGGTCATGACAGACCGGTGGGCTTTCTGGGAAGTGCCGCTGGGGGCCATCTGGCATCCCCGCAGTGCTGGAGCCCTGGGGAGATTCATTGCCTGAGCCTGGACCAAGCGGTGAAATCATCTTCCTGGAATCCTCATTGAGCCCCAGGGTGCTGAGGAAATGCTGCCCAGAACCCTGCCCAGTCACACGCTGCAAACGGTCTCCTGATGCTGTTTGCAGCCTGGGATTTAGAGTGGTTTGTGTGGGGTTTTGCCCAGGGCGGCAGGGGCATGGCTCAGCTTGGACACACTGAAGCTTCCTGGGGTGTAGCTTCATGCTTTGTGCAGTCAGGTTGGCATTGGTGGGACCCTGGAAGGATGTGTCTGACAGTTAAGGGCCCTTCTTGTCAAGGCCAGCCCCTCCAGATAGGTCTCTTCCCTACTGTACTGACCAGCCGTTCTCCCCAAATCTGAGTTGTAGAGAGAAAAGTGGATGTTGTTTCTGGGACCTCTCACAGAAGCCCCATGAGCCGTGAGTCTCCCTCCTGGCTGAGTCTTTATTGCCATCCTAGGCTGACCTTGTTTCCAGTATCCGTAGGCAGGGTTTAAAAACACGTATCTTTTACTTATTTTTTGGCAATTTCATACTTTATACAATGTGCCTTGATCCTGTCTATGCAGGATCTTCATATCCTTTCCTTTTTTTTCATTTTTATTTATTTATTTTTCTATTATCAGCTTGATACAGTATAAATTCTTATCCTAATAGTGAAATGTTTCATTGAGGCTTGCCCAGTAATTGAGTAAAACCAGTTTTTATTATTACTTTTTATTTCTGCTCCAAGTCTGTGTGTGCAAGCTACATGTGCTGATGCCTGTGGTGAACAGAAGAGGGTGATGGATCCATTGGAACTGGAGTTGCTGGTGTGAGCTGACCAGTGTGCTGGGAACTGGGCTTGTGTTCTCTGCCAGAGCAGCAGGATCCCCTAACTGCTGAGCTGCTTCAGTGAGCCCAGTGAGCGCTGCCTGCTGGAATGTGGACTGATCTTATTGGCTTGATCTTTGCTGATAACCGCAGCAGCCATATCACGTCCATTTCACAGGGCTCCTCTTTACCCATCAGCTCTTAGGTCCTTTCTGTGTTCTTCCTGGATGCTCTCTGAGCCTTGGTGAGGTCAGTAGAGATGTCCAGTTTCGACTGAGCACTCAGCAATCACTTATTCTCAGCTTTCCCATCAGTTGCAAGTCTCCATTAACTGCTGCCCACTGCTGAGAGCAAGCCATGGACATAACCATAGGTATTTAGAAGGCAGTTTAGCAACACATCCATTTAGCAAAAAACAAACAACAACAAAACCAGAAAACAAAACAAAACAGTGATAGGTCCTCCAGGACCTATGGCTTCCCAAGCCATGGACCATGATCAGATTTACAGTACCATGAGTGAATTCCTCCCTGTGGAACAGGCCTTACATCCCAACAGAAGGTGGTTGGTTACCCCATTACCTTCATGCCACTGTTGCACCATGGGCACATTTTGCCTGTCAGGTCAGTATAGTAGCCTGAAGGGGTCACTGCTAGATAAGACCCATTGGTGACTTTTCTCCGCCAGTGGATACAAAGCACCACTGGGCACTGTTAAAACCACCCGGAAGGGAGGCGGTTCTCAGGTCAGTCCCAGATGAATTTCTCTATGTCCTATAGCCAAAGTGTGCTGTGTCTTCAGCAGTAGGGTCTTGCTATCTAGTTATGGGGGCAACTAAACAGCAACAAGGGCTGGAGAGGTGGCTTAGTGGTTAAGAGCACTGACTGCTCTTCCAGAGGTCCTGAGTTCAATTCCCAGCAATGACGTGGTGGCTCACAACCATCTCTGATGGGATCAGCTTTCTCCTGATGTGCATGAAGACAGAGCACTCATATACATGAATAAATAAGTCTTAGGAAAAAAACAAACCAGCAACAATAGCCTGTGTTGTTTGGGGGCCTCATCCCTGACAAGTAACTAACTCCTAGGGAGGTCTCACACAGTAGGTCGAGTTTTCTGAGGTGTGTTTCTGTCAAAGGGGCAGAGTGAGCCAGGCAGGAACTTTTGTGAGCTTTCTTGTGGTTGTTTTAGCTAGTCCCTGAGTTACTGGGAGTGGGTTTGGTGGGTTTGTATATAGGTACTGTCACGTTGGTTGTGCAACACTGACCCTCAAGGTGCTAGGAGGGAGGGGACTTCAGTTACATGGAAGAAATCTGGAGGCCAAAACTCGGGAGTCCGTCAGTGCCCAGTCAGTCCCCAGAGGGATTTGACAGAGGAGCTCATCTGCATGTCTCTTTAACCAGGTCGCCATGGCTGTTACTGGCTCCCTTGCTGTCCCCAACTGTTCCTCAGGTCACCTCCCCACCTTGCTGCCTGTGTCCCGAGGGTGTGCACCGGTTTCAGTGGATCAGAAACCTGGTGCCGGAGTTCGGAGTCTCCAGCTCTCACGTCAGGGTGCTCTCTTCCCCGGCGGAGTTCTTCGAGCTTTTGAAGGTAAGCTGCTGAGGGACCGAGAGCAGGATTTGGATGGGGGGTCGGGGCCTGTTGCAGACACAGCCTGCGGCTCCTGCTGTCAGTGTCCCTTCATCTGTGCCTCTCTGGTGGCTAGTGTCCCCCAGCAGGGAGGAGCGAGGACAGGGCTAGAACCGGAGCCTGGAGGCAGTGAGGACTGGAGCCCCAGTCCTTCTCTGCTGGAGATGAGGGGCTGTGCATGAATCCCTCCCAGCCTGGCAGCTTCATCATGGGAGCTGTGTTTGCCTCGTGGGGATCTGAGGTGGGATCTGGTGGGTACGCGCAGTGGCCGCTTGGTGACAAGGCACTTCACATTAGGAGGCTTGTACTCCCTGGCCTGGGGTCCCGGCATCCCCGATCACTGGGAATCGGTCTGTGGTGTCACTTTGTACCCAGGGCTTGCTTTCCGCAGTACTCAGGTTCACATTACACGTCTAGTTCATGGTTGGACTGCTAATTGGAATGAAGTAATTCAGCACTAATTAATCTTTATGTGAACTCTCTGAGTTCATATTAACAATGGCTCTGGAATGGAGACCTGCTGAGGCTGGTGGCCAGCAGGGTCTGGGAGAAAGCAGGGGACACAGGTGCAGGTTCTTGTCTGGAGAAAGTGGGTGCTCATCTGCAGGAAGCCTGCCGTCTCTCCCTCACTCTCTGCTCGTGCTGAGCCACACTTAGCTTCATTTCTGGCTGGCTCATTCTTCGTGTGTGTGCCCACGGGCAGGGGCCGATCTGGGTTCATTGCTGTGTGTGGGCCAATGCCAGTGGGGGCCCCTTTACTCGCCTCACCCCTTCTTCTCTGTCCTCTTCCTCATTGTTCATGAGGATGAACCTGCAGTGTGCTCCTGTCCTCCCTCTGACTTGAAGAAACAGGTTATTCCAGATGCGGCCTGACTGACAGACTCTTCTGGTCAGGAGCCTTGGCCCTGCCCACGTCGGGGAAGCTGAAGAGTCCAGCAGGCAGCGGGGGTCCTGGATGTGGGTTGAGAAGAGGCAAGGCCTTTGTACCTTGTCCTGGACAGGAGGGCAGACGGGGGCCTACAGGCTGCTTGACTCTCATCCCTGACCTGTGTGACAGACGTTGACCCTCTGGTCCTCTGCCTTCCTTATGCAGGGGTTGTCTGGGGTCCTGTAGTGAGCAGCCATGTACACACTTTGGTGGTTGGGGCTGGACTGACTGTTGTTTTTTTTCTCTACAACCTTGATTGTAATAGATAACAAAACAAAGGAAGTAGCAGCCTGAGGATGTTGTTTGTTTTTTCCTTGTGCCTAAGCATTTCCCAGGGGTGTGTTCATGCATCTGTCTAGTCGATATGCCCAACTTCCTGAGTGGACAACACTAGCTGGGTGATATCCCTTCTTAAGTCGCAGGCATGTGCTGTGCCTTGTGGCTCCCTCCTTCTAATTCCACTCTCCTGTGTCCTCTAGAGTTGAGCTTTGTAGTTTTTGGAGACAGTCTCATGTCGCCCCAGCTGGCCCCTAACTCATAGGAACTCCTGATCTTCCTGTCTCGTCCTCAGAGCTGGGAGGACAGGTGTGACAGGTGTGCAGTCTGGTGCTTTGTGCTCTTGCTAACATCTCTGGGGTGGGGTTGCCTAGGGCTTTGGAGATGGGGTTCTTTATTCTCCTGGGCTGGAGCAGGGCCTAGGGAGGGGACACTGGCTGTGGAGACAACTTGGAATGTGTTGTCTTTTCATGTGTGCCCGTGCATGTGTGTGCCCACGCTTGATTACAGACAGCTAGACTTGAGGTGATGGCAAGTGCAGCTGCATGCACACTCCCCTTCCTGCCGCTCCTGCTTCTCAGAGAGATTGGAAGGAGTCTCTGCTCCTTTGGACCTGGATTACATGCATGCACATGAGTGCAGCTGTGTGCCTGTGGGGTTTATTGGTGAGGTGTGTATTCTGTTTTAGCAGCACACTGTGGGGGTGAGTTCTCATCAGGACGCACAGATTCCTTCATCCTGGGCTTGGAAAATGTGCTCAGTTGGTAAAGTGTTTGCCTCACAGTCATGAAGGTCTTGAGTTCCATACCTAGCACTATGGGAAAAGGCTGGGTGAGGTGGTGTGCACTCTTAATCCCAGGGCTGGGGTCCAGAGCTGGGTGGATTTCTTGGACTTGCTGGCCAGCCAGCCTGCTTGGTAGGTTCCAGGCTAGTGACACCCTGTCTCAAATATAAACAAAACATTTGGTGGAACAACCCAAGATGATTCTGTTTCCCATATGCATGTCTACACACTTACGTGTGACCAGCACTCACACAAATATGCATATATAAATACATGATACACACGCATGCACATGCACGCACGCACACGCACACACACACACATACACATACACATGATATCCTTCACCCGTTAGTGGCTGTGTTGCATGTTGTTGTCCCATTAGACTGCCTTGCTTTACAGACTGAATATTTGAATTAGAGTTGTGGGTCCTCCTTTGGGGAGTTGCTGTGTCTGTGCTGGGCTGCTTGGAGTATTAATGGTGAGGATGTAGAGCCATGCACCTTAGAATATGAAAACGATGAATGATTGTAATGTAGAATTGTTTCTCCTCTTCCAGGGACAGATAAAAATAGCCAAGAGGAGAGTTGTGATGGCATCCCTCTACTTGGGGACAGGACCCTTGGAGCAGGAACTGGTAAGGCCTAGGGGCAGGTGGTCCCAGCAGCAGATGGAGCCAGCTTCACAGTGTCACAGTTGACTCCAGCTGCCTTTCTGGCCTCTACATGTAGGTGTCTGATTAGTGCATGAAGATGGTATGGGAGACTCATGTGCTGGCCAACAGCTTCCCAACCCTTACAGGGCTCTCTGGGCTGCTCTACCTGACCATAACCCCAGAGGCTATATCAGGTCTGTGGCCTGCTTTTGTGTGGCCTGAAGAATGGCAACTGATTTCTAAGAGATTGGAAGAAAACCAAAGAATGTGAGTCATGTAGGGTGCATGACATTCACTTGTCAGTACAGCTGTAGTGGGGTATGGCACACTCCTCCTTTCTTGTGACAGCCACACAGCTGAGTCTTCCTGGCAGAGACCATCTCTGGCTCAAAAACCTAAAATATTTACTCCGAGGACCTTTTCAGAAAACATTTTCTGACTGTGTTCTAGGCAGATGAGCCCAAGTGCAGTTAGGGCCGGCTGGCTGGCTGCTGGGTGTACCAAGGCTGGCAGTGGCTGGCAGGGCTTAGTCAGTCTTGTTCTACCTGGGTTTTCTGGTGTGCCATAGCTGTGATTTTCAGTAAGGAAGACAGGGCTGGGAGGAGCCTACGCTCCCTAATGAGTCCAGAGATGCTATCTCTAGAGTTGCCCATGGCAGGCAGCGTCTGGGTTGAGCTGGAGCCTGTGAATGCAGCTTACTTGTCCTGTCAGTGGGCACTTTTGTCTTGGTGGGGTGGGAGGTGTGTTGTCTGTGGTGTATGTTCTTTCTGGATTTATTGTAGTTAGAAACTGGTGGTTTAGAGTTGGGACATGGTGCAGGCATTGGTATGTGGAGTCAGGGGGATGTAGGCCAGCCTGAATACTCCCACATCTTGACTTGGAGCAGAGGCCTCCCTCCATTTTCCAGGCCCATTGTCGACGGCAAACTTGGGAAGCTCATCTCTTCTCATGGGAGAGGGAGGTAACGTCCAAACCACAGGTGAAGGCAGGAGGCAGGTTACGTCTTGGATCTATTCGTCATTCAGTGGAAACTCAGCTAGTACCCCCCATTGGGTAGGGCACCAGTGTTGTGTCTGGAGGAGAATGTTTATGGAGATGTGAGAGTTCCAGGTTGTCAAGCACAGTGTACCTCAGCCCTGCATTCAACCTTCTTCTTGGGGCCCAGGCTGGAGAGGGCGCTTGGCAGTGGCTGATAGCTCATGTAGAGTAGTTCCGTGTTTCCTGATAGTGTGGTGAGTGGATTCATTTCTCAGGGGCAGACACAGCCCTTTGGTCTCACACATGTCCCTTTGATTCTTTCCTTATAGGTGGATTGTCTGGAAAGTTCTCTGGAGAAATCACTGCAATCGAAGTTTCCTTCCGACCTCAAGGTTTCCATCCTCCTGGACTTCACCCGGGGCTCACGAGGTAGGTGTTCCACACTTCCTCTCATTGGTTTGAGGAGTTGCCCTCTGCCAGACCTGCACAGGGCTGCCTGCTGGTCCCAGTCACGACTCCTCTGCAGCAGGTAGCTGTATGTAGCCCAGCTTGGAACAGTCAGGGCAGAAAAGGAGCTTTCCCGAGTCCGTGGCTACTTGGGGTCTCCTCCCTGCTTCCTTTGGCCTTGCTTTATTTTAAGGCTGTGTATGTGGGTCCCTGATGGTTGAGGCTAAGTTCCCAGGACACCTGCTTCTTGGAAGGCAGTCTCCTTCCTTCTCTGAGATGCAGGCCAAAGTTTCTAAGTGACTGCTGTAGGAAATGGACTAGATTTGAGTTAATGTCGTGTCTGTCTCAGGCTGGTATGTTTTCTTCTGGAACTGGGGTGAAAGGTCAGGTCACTGAGTGGAGTGGCTCCCCACGATGGGGAGCTAGTGTGGCTGAGGGCCAGTCCTGCCCTAGAGCATGGTGTGGTATGGTCAGAAGCAGCACTATTTGATGTGGCTTGTTACACCACCCCAGGTAAAGTGAGGCTCCCAGGGAGTTGGTCTGTCTGGCAGTCAGGGCATCTGTCTTTCCTGGTGGGGAAAGTTATAGGTGTTTCCTCTGCCGCTTACACACAGGTAGGAAGAACTCGCGCACCATGCTGCTCCCTCTCCTGCAGAGGTTTCCAGAGCACGTGCGTGTCTCCCTCTTCCACACACCAAATCTCCGAGGACTCCTCCGACTCCTTATCCCCGAGCGCTTCAACGAGACCATCGGACTCCAGCACATCAAGGTGTACCTCTTTGACAACAACATCATCTTGAGTGGGTGAGCGCTCTGTTGTGTTCTCTAGCTGGGAGTCCAGTTCAAGGCACGAGGCCAGTCTGCCCCTAACTCCTTAGAGAGGGTGCTGTGCAGGTTGTAGATGGCGCTCCTCTCTTTAGTAGCCCCTCCTGTGTGGAAGGTTGATTGGAAGACCAGCCGCCATTTGTGTTGTGTTAGCATTGGCGGCCATGCTGAGCCTCTGCACGGATCACTGTTGCTGTCAGTGATGCGCTCACTCTGCTCCTCACTTCATGTGAGGAGAACAGACCGGAGAGGACACATAACTGCCAGACAGAGCCCAGGAAACACAGACTGAGCACAATGGAAGTCCAGGTCTGTGGGCTGTGAGGTCACTGACAGCTGTGGGCTACAGCACCTGTTCTCGCCCGGGTTGGCTCCTTTGGTGGGTGCCGTCTCTGTCCTTCCAGTGTCTGTCTGGCTCGTGTCCTACACAAGGTTGCTCTGGTTTCATCACACCACGGGATTGTCATTGCTCACCTACGTACCTGAGGCCTGGGTCACTGGGCCACACATCCTCCTGGCTGCGTCCTCATCCGATTCTTCCCCTCTCTAGTGCAAACTTGAGTGACTCCTACTTCACCAACCGCCAGGACCGCTATGTGTTCTTACAAGACTGTGCTGAGATTGCAGACTTCTTCACAGAGCTGGTGGATGCAGTGGGGGATGTGTCCCTTCAGCTGCAGGGGGATGACACGGTGGACGTCGTGGATGGGATGGTGCACCCTTACAAAGGTAGGGCAGCCTGCAGCATCTGCTGACTCCTGTGGACTGATGGTGGAGGAACGTCTTTGTGCTCCTTGCCCGGGTGCAGGAAACGGGGTGTCAGGGCTTGCAGCACTTGTTTCTAAGCCAGAGAATGTGATTTACTGGTTTTCACATGCTCACATGCCCTGTAAGCAAGAGCCAGCCTGGGAAGGTGGGAGTTTGGGTTGGGTCCTCTACCTTGGTCGGGTGGGCCAGGAGATTGCCTTGATCTTACAGAAAGCAGCCTGCCTCGTGATCACCCTCCCACTTGGGAGGCCCATTTGGGCCTCTTCCCCCCCAAATCTCCTATCATAGCAGCCCCCTCGAGTTCTGTGGCCCCTGCCTGGAAAGTGAAATGGGAGAGCTGAGCTCTGCTGCAGGCAAGCCCTTGCGCTGCATTTCTGAGCACTTGCATTCCTGTGATTCCTGTGCCTATGGCTTCTCCTTAAAGGGCTGCTGCTGAGTGTGCAGCAGACTCCACGGCTTAGGGACAACTTGGGGAAGGGGTAAAACCTGGCCCTTGGAGGAGAAAAGCTCTCATGTCATGTGGTTTTCCTGATGACAGCTCTGCCCAGTGCCAGGGAGCTGTGACTGCCCAGCCAGGCTGTGGTCTGTTGATGGCCCTGTCTGCCCCAGGGATTGTTTAGTTGTTACCACTGTGCATTGAAGGGTATCAGTTAAACATTTTGTGGAAAATTTCTTTCCCTCTGTGTATCCCTAGGTTTGCCTTTTGGTCCTCAAGCCTAAAACATGTACTCTCTGGGCTTTGAAGAAATGCTCAGGCCCTGGTGTGCTGTGCCAGGCTAGGCACAGCTAGCGGGAATGAATGGCTGTGTTTAGGGACAGCTGAGATGTGTCAGGTTTAGGACAGGGACAGGGACATTTGACTCAGTGTCTGGCTGCTGCTCCCTCTGGCAGGATGGATTTCTGTACAGTTGGTTTCTTTTCTGTTTCTAGTCTAGTCCTGAGGCATCCAAGTGTCTGCCTCTGTTCTCAGTGCAGACTGTAGGTGACCCAGCATAGCTCCACGTGGTGCTGCTTTTCTCCAGCCTTGCCAAAGACTTCTGTCTCCTGAGTCTGATGTTGACCTGCTGCTTCTGGCCTGTCTGTGGACTGGTTTGTCTTCCTGATCTGCAGCGTTGGTTTGCTCTCCCCAGACTTCAGGCACAGTCAGTTCTCAGCCTCTTCTCGTCCAGTGACAGCACCTGAAGTTGTGTCTTTCCCTGCAGTGTGTCTGAAGAGTGTGTGTCATTGTGTCCTGTCCATATGGGAAGGTGGTTTTGCAGAGCCCAGCCTGCCCTCAGGGCTTCTGTTTATGGTGGCCGTGCTTTCCTGCCCTGTGCGTTCTGTGCTGCGTGTATTTGCTGTGTGGTTTCTTTGTTCTTGATGTGAACACATCTTTTTTCTTAACTCATCTTCACTCTCTTTCTTTCCTTTGAGACAGGGTCTCGTGTAGCTCAGGTTGGCCTTGACCTTTTCTCCCATTTGCCAGCATTGTAGTCAGGTGCCACCACACCTGTCCTGGACGCAGGTCTTTTATTTCAATGATCTTTCTAATGAAGCACAAAGCGTGCGAACCAGACAGCCACACAGAGGTGCAGCTCAGCGGCCTTCCCAGAGCTACCTAACCCCAGCTCTGTCCTCAAGGTACCCAAACCTGGTGTTTGCCACCCCACATTCCTTTCCCTGTTTTTGAGTTTTTGTAGCTGGGATTACCTGTGTCGTGCCCTACCACGTCTCATTGCATGGGTCCTGTGGGCAGGGCCCTGGCTGGCTGCTGCCTCCTTTGCTCCTTGAGCTTAGTCTGTGTTCTGCCAGTAAAAGCTTGTGCATTTGCACTTAGCTGTCACATGGTGTGTGCCTCGAGCCAGCAGAGTCTTGATGGTTTTTAAGTGGTCTAATGTAGCTCATGCTGGCCTTGGACTCACTATGTAGCTGAGGATGACCATAGCTCCTGATGCTCCTGCCTCTACCACCCAGGTGCTGGGACTATAGGTGTGTACCACTCCCTGGCTCTCCATTGCTCTTTTTCCTCTTCGTATGTCTTCTGTAGGTGACCGGGCTGCGTACTGCAGAGCAGCTAACAAACGGGTCATGGACGTGATCCACTCAGCCAGGACCCGACAACAGATGCTGCACGCACAGACCTTCCACAGTGACTCTCTGCTGAGTCAGGAAGAGGCTGCGGCTGCTGGTGACCGGAGACCAGCACCTGACACCTGGATTTACCCACTGATCCAGATGAAGCCCTTTGAGATTCAGATCGATGAGATAGTCACTGAGACCCTGTTGACGGAAGCTGAGCGGGGAGCTAAGGTCTTCCTCACCACTGGCTACTTCAACCTGACCCAGGCCTACATGGACCTGGTATTAGGTACTCGGGCCGAGTATCAGATCCTCCTGGCCTCACCAGAGGTGAATGGCTTCTTTGGGGCCAAGGGCGTGGCCGGCGCCATCCCTGCTGCCTATGTGCACATTGAGCGGCAGTTCTACAGTGAAGTGTGTAGTCTGGGGCAGCAGGATCGGGTCCAGCTTCAGGAATACTGGCGCAGGGGATGGACCTTTCATGCCAAAGGTAGGTGGGGGCTGGCCAACCCCCCCACCCCCATGGGGTTTGGGATGTTCCACACAGATCTGGGGTTGTGAATACATGTGGGGGAGAGTCCTGCACTGTGTTATCTTTACAGCAGCCCTTGCAGGTACTTCCTGCCTGTCCCCTGTCCTGAGGGGTGATTCTGTCCCATTTGGGGATTTAGTTTTACAGAATACTTCCCCTTTATGTGAACAAAACTTTAGAAATGGAAACTACTCGGTGAATATTCCATTTTTCCCCTGGTTCTGGGGACCAACCCCAGGCTTTCACTTCTGCGGCTGACCTACTTCAGTCCTTAGTCCTTCGGTGCCTGTTGAGGCGCCTGTTCCGTCTGCTGAGAGGAACACCAGGAAACATGGAAGGCTTGCTTCCCTCTTCTCTGCCTTTGGGGCTTACACCTGCCCGCTGCACAGAGGACTCAATGCACATTGCTGCTTTGTCCTGGGAATAGCCCGGTCTCCTGTCTGTGCCTCCTTGTGATGGATTCTGTCCCTGTTTGCCAGCCCCTGCTCTCTCCCCACACTCAGAAGCTGGAAGCACATGCTCAGTGTGTAGTCCTGACGGGGCGGGAAGTCATGTAGCCTTTGGTCTCTTCTTTGTGGTTCTGGGGCTGAGGCCCAGGCCTTGTCCATGTTAGGCAGGTGTCCATCGCTGAGCTTTGCTGGGCACCCAGCCAGTGCCCTGGACCATCCAACGTAGCCCTGTGGTAGAGATGGTTATAGTCTGCAGTGGGTACTTGCTGTGATCCAAAGAGAACAGCCCGGGTGAGGCAAGTTCTTGGGGGTACCTCTCTGATGGGTAGATGAAACATTGAAAACCTTGTACCTGACAACAGTTTGCCTTGTGGCCTATTGCTAAGGGTGGTGGCTTCAGGATGACACTGCCTGAAGAGTCACCCTACCCCAGTGCCTGTCCTCTGTCTGGTGCCAGAGGTGTGGACAGTATCTTGGAGTGCTGGCTTCTTGTGGCTTCTCCAGGTAGTCCGGAGGGCTGCTGTGTTGGCCTCTGAGCACATATCTGGGCTCTTGAAATTTGAGGCCATCTTTGACTCCTCAGATGGAACTTTTTTCGCTCTCTGAATCCAGCGTTCTCAGTGAGGATACTTTTTTGTTTTTGTTGTTACTTATCTGAGATAGGGTCACTATGTACCCTTGGCTGGTCTGCAACTCTCTGTGTAGACCAGACAATCCTGGAAATCAGAGATCTGCCTGCCTCTGCCTCCTGAGTATTGGAATTAAAGGCATGCACTACCATGCCTGGCTAGTAGGGATATATTTTAAGAAATAATGAAGTTCCTTGCTGTCCTAGAGCTGAATCCAGTTATCTGTATTGTTATTTTAGGTTTTTTTTTTTTTTTTTGGTTTTTCGAGACAGGGTTTCCCTGTGTAGCTTTGCGCCTTTCCTGGAATTCACTTGGTAGCCCAGGCTGGCCTTGAACTCACAGAGATCCGTCTGGCTCTGCCTCCCGAGTGCTGGGATTAAAGGCGTGTGCCACCACCGCCCGGCTTTTTTAGTTATTTTTTAAAAACATTTATTTGAGCCATGTAGTGGTTGTGCACACCTTTAATCACAGCATGAGGCCAGCCTAGTCTACAGAGTATAGTCGGAAGTTTTCTTGTGTCTGGCCTGGTTCTGCAGCTGCTCAGACCCAAGTAAACACATAGAGGCTTATATTAATTACTGACTGGATAGGCTATGGCTCAAACTTCTTGTTAGCTAGCTTTTATAACAACCCATTTCTATTAATCTATAAGTTGCCATGTAGCTGTGGTGTTTGTTACTGGTCTGCTGGCATCTTGTTGCTCCTTGGGTGGTGACTGGTGTTTGTCTGAGTCCACCCTTCTCTCTGTATCTCTACTTGGATTTCCTGGCTGTAAGCTTTATTGCCATAGGCCAAAACAGCTTTATTTACTAACCAATGGGAACAGCCTATATTCACAGCATACAGGAAGACATCCCACAGCATAGGGCTACCTAGAGAAACCCTGTGTCAAAAAACAAAAAGAAGAAACAAAAAAACCCTCGTGTGTGTGTGTGTGTGTGTGTGTGTGTGTGTGTGTGTGTGTGTGTGTTGGTGGAGTGTGCACATGCTATGGCCTGTTTATAAAGGTTAGAAGGTAACTGTGGGAATGAGGTCTCTCCTTCTATCAAGTGAATTCCATCAATCAAAATTAGGCTTTTAGGCTTGGTGGCAAGCATCTTTACCCACTGACCCATCTCGCCGTTCTTTGTTTTATTTTGTTTGTGTTCTGTGGTGCTGGGATGAGTTCCTGTGCCTTGTGTATACATCAAATACTCTACCTATCTGAACTCCACCTCAGCCTTACATAGGACATAATACCCCAAAGGCTGGGGAAGTGGTTGGCCTGTCCAGCGGGCCCTGCTTGTGCATGGAAGCCCTCAGTCCTGCCCAGGCAGGCAGCGTCGTGTGTGTGTGTGGTAAGCTCCTGTCCCGTTGTTGGTCTCAGCTTGACGTGTGGGCTGAGTGAAGCTTGCGGTCTCGCCTGTCTCTGGGCAGGTAGAGCTGGCCAGAGGGGGTGTGGAAAGTCTTTTCAGGTTGGCCCAGTTCCTTCTGGGCAGGACAACAGGGCCCCTGGATGGGGACACAGAGGCAGAACTGAACAGCTGGGTGAAGCCAGAGCTTTGGAGAAGCATGGTAATTTACAGGTCCCTGCACAGCGAGGCAGGCCAGACAGCATGCTCCTCCAGGTCCACTGTGCCTCGGGCCCTAGCCCAGCCTTACCGCTGGAGACTCTGGTCTCTGTTGCCATGTTCCCCTGAAGCCTCACTGATGAACTTTCATGTGTGTGGTGACTCCCCAGTTACACCCAACTGGCTTTTCCTGTGCATCTCGCCTCGCCTTTTCCCGGACTCTGTGCTCGTGCCCTCTGCTCCTTCCCTCCCTCTCTCCCTCCCTCTTGCCTGTCCCGATGTGGGTGGGGCCCTGCCATCTCTGAATGCTGCTGCATCAGTGTGTGTGTGGGTGGGGGTGTGGGGGGGGCAGGGAGGGCCTCATCTCTGGATCCTGGAATTGTTGAAAGGAGGGTGAGCTGGTGCAGCTGGGTGGGGGAGACGGTTCTTGCAGTTTGGTTCTGAAATAGGGGCTTAGGTGGCCTGAGCTACTTGCTATGTAACTGAGGATGACCTTGAACTTTGGACGTCACGGCGCTTTTCTGGCCCAGCTGCAGACAGCTTCAGTATCAGTATGGGATGAATAGGGAGTCCACAGGGTGGTTGTTGGTTTTTGATAATTGGTGCAGTGGACCGTGTCCTGCAGGGCCTGTGTTGGATACAGGACATGGGCCTGTTTGTGTCTATTTTGGGCTCCTGGAACTCCTGCGCATTACTATGTAGTTGATATCAGGGTTCTCTTGCCCAAGCTCCTACAGGACAGGCGTGGGCTGGTCTCAACTATTCCTGCTCCCAAAAAGCCTCAGAGGAAGAATGCCTGAGAAGCCAGGACATTGCATTCCAGGTCTGTCTGGATCCATGCACCTCAAGAGATACAACTTAACAGCATAGCTTTCCCCAGGGACCAGGCATAGGGTGCCAGGAGGACCTTTTGAACTTGCTGGTGGCCCTGTGAGGTGGCTTAGCAGGAAAGATGGTTTGGTCCCTTTCCTTGGGAAGCTGCCTTGGCACCCGACCACACCAGTTGTGCTGTGTGTCTCCTTGCGGCGATTCAGACGACTGGGGTGGCTCTGTAGTGTTTGCTGGGGAGCTGGGTGCAGCCTTGTGACCCTGACAGTGGGGGCAGAGGTAGGGATGGAGGCCAGCCCGGGATGGACAGACCAGCAGGATTGGACTACTCGCTGCTGCTCGAATGCCTGCTGGGGAGTCGATTGCATGGCAGTTGGCTGCTGAAGCAATTGGTAGAGCTCATGTCACTTACAGGCTTTGCTGCTGTCTTAACCAGGGATGGCCCACGGTGTCAGTGTTTGCCTCGGGGACTTCTTTTGCAGTGTGGCTTATCTGTTGAGTTCCTATGCGGAAGTTTTTGGAAGTGCTCCCTGGAGCTCAGTTCCTTCTACAGGAGCTCCTGTGGAGTGCGGTGGTGGCACGATGTCGTCTGGGGACGGCAAGTGTGTGTAAGTGACCAGCAGCCCACAGCCAGTGAGGGCTCCCTCTGAGCAGAGTGGGTGACTGGTCAGGGTAGGTAGGGGATGCCTGGGATCCCCTGATGCATACTCTTCGGCCTTGTCACCTGCATGTAGGGGTCTTGGCTCACAGCGGTCCTAGCTTAGCCACACAGAATGCTGTAGTGTACTGCCACCAGGAGTGAAGGGTTCCTGCTCACAGTGTAAAGGTGAGAGGCTTGGGGTAGAGTTCAGATGCACCAGGGCCATCCTCAGACTGCAGTGCCTCCCGCCCCAGCTGGAGTGTGGTTTCTATTGAATGGATCTTGCTTTCTCACCACCAGGAAGCTAAAAACACTTGTGAACTCGTAGGTGGGCCGTCCTAAGTTGTCTGTGTGCAGGCTTGTTGCTGTACCTCTAGCTGTGAAGGGCAGCTCTGTCCTTGGCTGGAGAGAGTCCTCGGGAGCAGGCGGTGGGCACAGCTAGGCTCCTGGCTGTGCTGTGACTGCTGGTTTGCCAGTCTCTGGCTCGGCCTGTAGGTGTAGGGGAAGGGTTCTAGGCTGGGCTAGAGTCTGACTGCTTCTCGGATGCTCAACAGATTTGTGTGAGCGGGTGCTGTGGGATCACTGGGTCCACCGGGTCCTGGTGGAGTGTGGGGAGTGGGCTTAGGACCCAGGTGTTAGTCCAGTGGAGTCCGCTGAGTTCCAGCATGCTTACCATGGCGCCCGAGGGGCAGTGTTAGCATTTCACATGTGCGAGTGTGATGCATCTGTGTCTCAGTTCTGCCCCATGGTGAAGCCTGTGATGTTCAGGCCATCATTTTGATTTTTTGTCCTGAGCAAGACACGTGTCAGCCTTGTCCCTGCTCTGTCCTGAGAGCCGAGCCCTGTCAGCAGGGATCACACC